TTTCAAAAAGGCAAGAGCGAGAGAAATCCTCGATGGAACAAAGTTTTAAACTTTGTTAATTTTATAGACACAGTTTTCTAGATAAATCATAGGATTCTGACAGGAAAATAAGGCTATCACACTATTTTACACCTAATTGCAGATATAACTGCTTCTGTCATTTAAATTGATAAAGTTGCTAAGACATCTTTGAACCCTAGGGATTTTTTTTAAGTGAAATGTGATCAGTTCTAAGAGCTATGTATATCCCTTTGCACCACAATTTCAAATGAAGTTCGCTTTATATTTCCTCAGTTTAGTTTTAGCTTTATATTGGGTGTTAGTTGTAAATGTGATTTTATATTTAAAGGGCAGTAAGCAAACTGGTTATGATTTTTGCCTACAAATGTTGATGTCTGCAATGAATAATGAATTCTTTTGAATTTTCTAGAGATTTAGGTGGCTTTCAAAACAATTTAATGTTAATCTATTTAAAACTAATTTTATTCAGTGTGTTCTTATGTGCATTGTTTTTTAGGAATTCCAATAGGATGTTTCAGCAATTTAAACATCCATTCAAGTGCAGGTGTTTGTTAAATCACAGAAAAATTATTTTAATCTCTTTCATAATTACTCCATTTTCTGAGAATTACCTCAGGATACAAAAGAAATAGTAGTTGTATTTTAAAACAATTTTCTTTTCCAAGGAAAAAACATCATTGAAGTTTGGAAATACTGATTCTTCTGTTCTCTGTTTAATGAATGACTTTGAAAAAGTACCTTAGATGATCAATGCATTCTCTAAGATAGCTGTCTTTAGGTTCACTATCTTTAGAAAGTTTTTATGATTTGTCGTATTGTCTGTCATCTGTTATATGCACACAGATACAGCAAAGTTATGCGTGGCAACATTTCATACAGAGTTAACAAATACATTCTTTCTGATTATTTTATTGAATTTAACTTGTACTTCTGTTGTTAGCTCTTCATTGAAAACCTATATGCTTTTCTTCAGACACAAAATTAGCAATTTCTTCCTGAGCACCTTTCAACGTGTTTGGCTGGAAAAAGTACATGAAAAAACTCAGTATGACAGGCTTATACTCAAGTTAACGGTAATGTAACTTGTGGAGAGCCTCTTCCTTATGCACACACTTATTCCTTCCCAGCCATGATTTATTGTTGCCATAAAACATGAATTTTGTACAATTTTCACAGTAGATTCTGATTGGTCAGTTTTTGAAAACTGATAATAAAAAGGGACCCATGACAGCAGGAGAGTATAGAGAGATGACTATATACCAGTATCATATAAAATAAGAATTTATGTGCATAATGTCTCTAGGCAATCCATAGTATAATACAGTCAGTTTATATAGTTATTGGTATAGGATAAAAGTGAATGAAAAGGCTATGTGGAACAACCTTCAGAATGTCATGTACGCCACCTCAAAATATTTTTTTCCCTTAAATTCTATGCAAAAATGGAATAGTTTGGCCAATATTATGTGTAGTCTCATTGCAATTATTTGCATTTTGGGTGGAAAAATTTCCAATTGAATTAGTTAATAGTGTGTAATATCAATTGATATACCTAAGAATTTTCTAAAATTGTTCTTTTCTAGAGCTTTTATGTGTTTCTAATTCATTTATAAGTGAAAAAAAGAAGGTTGTTAGGCAATGGTTGTTCACATATAACATGCTGCAAAGTAGTTCATAATTATTTTGTTCTTCATGGCCGGCGCCTGCCATCTCAGTGTGCTAAATCCATGAAATTAAATTTACATTTAGTAGGTGCATATGTTACCCTCTTATTATCAATTTTTTAAAACGTGTATTTTTCTCATGCTTGTATTAATTCACCAATCACACAATTTCTCTCATAACGTATATTAGCATTCTTGAAGCCTTCAGAAGAAAAAGTTGTGTGTGCATGTGTGTGTATTTAAAAAAAAAAAAAAAAAGTTCAAAAATATATGCAGATTTGTCATTGAAAGTTAGTTATGTTTTGTGTTTGATTTCACTGACCAATCAGAGGATCAGAATTGTACAAACACTTATCCTTACTAATCATTAACCATCTGAGCTGTTATACTATGTTCCTTTACCCCTCTTGATCTCACTTTCACAACCCCCCAGGCACCGTTCTATTAACCTCTTCCTCCATGGCTATCAGAACTATTGGATAGAAACAGAGGAATATTCATTTGAGGAGAAACTAGTTCAGGATTTGGCTGTAAGTACTAACGTAATTGGGCATATTTTTCAGTGCCCATTTTAGCGTACATTTTATGTATCTATTATGACCTATATTTTATTTTAATATATACTGTATATATATGCATAAATTTATAAAGTATGAATTCTTATGCTTCAGAGCATAAGGTCATTTTCTGCTATGGTCAAAAAGATATCCAACCTGTGATGCACAGTGAGATGCATCAAGGTGTTGTATGCCTTCAGTTGAATTATGTGATACTCTTGGGAACAGAAATGGTCTAGATCAATTATCAAACTATATTTGTGATTATGGTAATTCCTATGTTCCTATATTTTATTTTTGTTTTTAAAGCTTGACACAGTTGATGCTTCTCCCCTTTTCAATTTTCATTGATGCATAATATTTAACATTTTCAGCTTTGATACAAATTTTTTGTTTGTTTGTTTTCTTGTTGGTACATCATTAAGAGATGAAAATATATGCAGCCATATTCAGCAAAATTTTGGTTTACGTGTGTACTTGATGGAAGTGCTTGGTAAACTTGAGCATTTTGTTACTTAATATTGATTCTGAAAAACAATTCTTTTTTCTTTTCCCCTTCTGTAATCGGTTTGTCTAAACTGTTACCAAAGGGTTTGGTGTTACCTAAACACCATACGTATGAATATATGGCACCATGGATCAAATGAAGGTGCATCAGAAGATGCTTCAATGTTAGCAAAACTGTTAATATTTTGGATTTTAAAGACCAATTAGTATAGAACATTGTATTCTACAGCTATTATATTCTTCCAATATTCTGAACAATTTAACGGTCATAGTTTTTCCTTCATTTTCTTGCTGCTTTCTGCTGAAGGACAGAATGAGACCATTAATCAAAACTGTGATTACAGTTCTTTCAGTTTTACTAGTAAATTAAACAGTTATTAACATAATTACCATAATTTTACAACAATTAAATCCTACTAAAGAGTAACAACACAAGTAAGCTGAAGTTGATACACTGCCCTTTGTCAGTGTGGCTATCTTTTATTCCAAACTGACAAAAATGTTTTAAGTTGACAGAGTAGTAGTTCTATTCTTATATCAAAGTCACCTAGAACAGACACATGGAAGTAATTTAGCGAACACCAGCCTGAATAAGGTGCTTCTGGTGATCTTAAAATTAGTTCCATTTATCAATTGGTTCTTCTGCTCAAGCTGGACTTCCTTTCAGTTCTGGTCCATTGGAAACATGCACACAATTTCCGCTGAATAAGGCTTCCCTAACATTTTCTCGTCTTATTCTCAATGCCTTGCAAATGAGAGACTTCTAATGGTATTATCAAATGCAAGCAAATGTATCAAACTTCATAATTCCTTCCTAGTTAAACAGGCAAATAGTGTTGTAGGCTCTGGTAAGCCGTTCAATAAGGTAACTACTGGAAGTTAATACAAATTAGCCAAAACAAAATTACTGAAATCCTTTCCTAAGCTTATTAGCTCATCTTTTTCCTTAATCATGAAGCTTAATTTGTATATTCTGATATAAATCTGTTGAACATAGACGTCTCCAAAAAAAGAGGAAGAAGAAGAGGAAGATACAGAGAAAGAACAACCTGACCCACTTCATCAGATTATCCTCTATTTTAGTCACAATGCTCTCACAGAGAGGAGGTAAGAAAGAGCCATGTTGAAAAGTGAACTGAGTAGAAACACCCAGAAACTGAATTTCTAGTAAAATTTCATAAGTGATCTAACATAACAGCAATTTAGTATTGTCCTTGGTTGAATGCTTTTTTGTTTTTTTGTTTGGTTGGTTGGTTTGGTACTATGAGCAGCCCTCATAGACACAACAGAATTTTACAATAGAATAATGGGATTTCACATAGACATATGTATGTTTCCATTGATCAAAATAGTACGTATGTATTATCAGGAGTATTATCTTTTTATTACTATGTCATTACATATATTTAAATACTTTTTCTTTATAGCAAACTGGAAGATGATCCCTTATATATTGCCTATGCTGCCATGATGGCAAAGGTAACTATGATTTCAAGCTCCATCCACTGCTTCATTCAAGTAGTTCCCAATGCTTTTTAAATATTTTCCCTTTCTCTTATGTGGACTGCTCTGTACTAGTAATTGCTACATTTTTAATGAAAAAAATGATGTTAAGAGTTAGATACATAATAAGAAATTTCCTACTTTCAAATGATATTATAAAATTCCAGTAAGTGCCACCCTGTTTATTTCACTTGGCACTGGACTAACTTGAGAACAAGCTTAACAATATGAGCAGATCCATGATACGTTCAGAAATTATTTTGAAGTTTGCATTCTGTCAAAAGGAAGTTGAGAGTCAAAGTTTGCAACAAATTGACTACAATTGATGCTTCCATGTCAAGAGGGTTTGACTACGAAGACAAATCTTACGGATTTAAATAGAGAGATGACATGAGAACAGATAGTCTACAGTTACAAGTTACATATATAGTTGGAAGTATTCATATATAAGGGAATATCAGCTTGTTAGTGTATGGACACAAATATGTGAGGATTACAGGGATCTAAAATCTAACTGGATTTAGTTATTGCTTCAAAAAAACTCTTGTAATGTTTTTCTTTCTATAATACAAATACTGTTACAGAAATAGCTATCATATTTCATACTAAGCAAAATTTTGTGATTTTTGTTTCTAACATTAAAAGAGCTGTCAGGAAGAAGAAGAGGAGGAGGAGGAAGAGAAAGAGAAGACGTTTGAGGTGAGAGTTCAAATCTTATTTCTTTAAGACACTTGAGGTGAGAGTTTAAATCTTATTTGTTTCTGCTTGTCTAAATTAGAAGAGAGCATTTTAAATATAAGCACAAGAATAAATAAAAGGATAACACAGTGTATATTGAGAAGCTTTACTAGGTTATTCATGTAGAAGAAAGGCAGTGTGAAGGCAAATAGCCTTCAGCATTTTCAGGTTTTTCATTTGTATATGTTGTTTGAATGAGTTCCAGTCTGTATCTTTTTTTTTTATTTTATTTTTATTTTTTTCTCCAAACTTAGGAGAAAGAAATGGAAAAGCAGAGAACTCTTTATCAGCAAGCTCGCTTACATGATCGTGGAGCTGCTGAGATGGTCCTTCAGATGATCAGTGCAAGCAAAGGTAATGTTCAGAGGAGAACTGAAGTACATATTATCATGTATAATGCTATACATATACATATGCATAATGACGTAACACATTATCATATGCAACTTTTTATGTCATCTCTGATTTATACATGATACATAATGCAGCAAAATAAATGTGAATAGGGACTACGTTAGGTAAAATTTCTGAACTGTCTTTCTGACTGACTAGTTTATAATTACAAATTTTATCAGCAGTACCCTTATTTTGACAGGTCATACAGGACCCATGGTTGTTGAAACACTAAAACTTGGTATTGCTATTCTAAATGGTGGGAATACAATAGTTCAACAGGTAATGCTTTTCTAACTATTGAATCTTGCTTGTGTAAAGGAAACTAGTTTTATTTTTATTGTTGTTAATTTAATTTTAGGCTAAACAATGAAAATATATTGGAATACATGGAGTATTTGTATTGGAGTATTTGGTCCAATAACAGTGACATTATTCCTTACTAGTGACCTGCTAGTTCTGAATGGTAATTTAGGGCATTTTTAATTTACATAACTTTAATATAGACTTTTTTCCCCCAAATGTGTGTTTGTGTACTCTAGAAAATGCTAGACTACTTGAAGGAGAAAAAGGATGCTGGATTCTTTCAAAGTCTTTCTGGTTTGATGCAGTCCTGCAGGTAAAAGCAAAGATCATGTTATTACAGCTTCACTTTTATTGAGATTGATGGTCTGGTGCAGATGGCTTTTTTAGATGTAAATTACACAAGTCACAGATTCTAGAACTCTGCTTTTTAATGAAACTATCTGTGAATCAGAGGAATGCTGTGTTAACATCTTAAAATATTTTTCCAACTGAGAAAATAAAGCATAGTCTAGGTATGCATTTGAAGCATTAGTTTGGAGAGGCAGAAAAGCAAAAAGTAACAGCTCCTTTACTGGTCCCAGATCCTTCAAGATTTCTGGATGGTTCTAAGGATGGAGAAGAGCCATCACTGAAGGAGAGACAGGCCACTAGAGCTTTATTAAGCTATCAGTTTCTGGACCTCTCTGACATGTCACATAATCTCTTCACCTGAATCCTCTGCATATGTATCAAGCTTGTTAGAGGTGGCATGTGGCCAGTGAGACCATCCATGGTAGTCCATTCACTTGACAAACCAGAACGTCCAATTAGTTAAGGTAAAAGACTCTCCTAAAGAAGGTGGAAAATTGTTGGTGTATCTCATTGCTCTTACAGTAGACAAACTCCTTTCCTCAGCCATTTAGAGAAACAGAAAGGTTCTGAAACAGCAGACTGAATGACAAGTGGAGAAGATATCACAGAAAAGGAAAAACTGTGGAAGGAACGATGACCTGCACTGCAGAAGTTATTATTTAACAGTTGCAGCCTAATTAAATAACATACACTGTCTTTTTTCACATTTATGTAAAACAATTTAGCAAGTACTTTCTCAAACAGGACATGCGGTGAATATATGAACAACTGTGTACGCATTGTGCAGGACTTGATTTAAAATGTTATTGATAAAATGATTTGAGCACAGAGGAGAGAATGAAAATGATGTTTTGAAAAATGCTTCACATTTTGTTTTTGAGAATGTCACAGGAACTTAGAACATGTGAATGCACTGCAGTGTAATTGAAAAGAAGTATATATCATAAAATTATATCTGAACTGTTTGAATGAAAGCATTCAGACTTAGAAAAATTATCATCTGATATTTCAGATGCTGAGCTGTGGCAAAGAAGTACAAAGGCATAGATTTCTGTGTATTTTGACCTTAGTAGGTACAGCGTCTCTGATTATATATCTATATAGATATCTATCTATAAATATATTTTTGGAAAATGGAATCAAACATTCTACTTTTGTCTTTAAAATAATGTAATAATGTATAAGATATAGAACAACAGTGTAGTAGTAGTGAAATTCAGTGGAAAACAGCCTAACTGTGAAAAGCAATTGCAGTGATGTTCTTTTGGCAAACAGGTTTAAGTTAATATAGAGTGTAATTTCAGATTTCTTTTCACTTACACGTGAAACCATCAATGATGTTACTGGAAGAGAAGTTAGATGTAGAGATGTACTGGAAGAGTAGTCAGACCTGATCTGAGACTCATTATTTTACAGAAATGGACACTGGAGCCTTATTTTCATCCCAAGCACTTTGATTTAATACTTATATTAAGTGCTGTGATAGCACATGTTGCAGCAGGTCAAGCTAGTTATTGAAGTGCAGTTATTGAAGGCTTCCAGAAATTTCTTATAATTTTCCATTGTTTACTGCAGCACTTTCTCATTATTATTATTTTTTTTTATATAAGTGTTCTTGACTTGAATGCATTTGAGAGACAAAATAAAGCAGAAGGCCTGGGAATGGTTACTGAAGAAGGAACTCGTAAGTACAATGAAACTGATTCCAGTAGCACTTAAAATATTTGAGCTTCCTTCTTTAAATAGAACTTATTAAACTTGGCTTGAGCTTTCTGTTGTTAAACTGAATATAAATAACTGTAAGTTGTTAAACTGAGTATTTTTTACATGTATGAAATCTTTAGCAATAATTTTGATGACAAAAATGTAACTTCCAATATTCTCATCTTGTATTTTTGTTATTTTTCTTCAATCCACAGTCATCGTACGTGAGCGTGGTATGTTTGGGTACAGTTTTCAATACTATTGTTCCGAAAGTCTGTTGCAAATGCAGAAAGAAATCTCTAACTGCATCTTCTCAGACATCTTCAGGTTTAGCGTTATGGTCTGCAGCAAGTTGTGTGTTCAGCTTGGAAAAAGTTTGATGCTTATTAATGAAATGTCGTTCATATTTAAGGCACAATTTTATTCATAACTAACCATTTGCTTATTAGATATATAATGTGTAGTTTGTTTGTTGTCTTAATTTTTTTTATTTTTATTTTTTTTTAACCACGGATGCATTGGAGTGCTAAATGCTTTGGCTTGGCTTTTGGACCCCATTTTTCTTTTCATTATTATCAGCCTGTTTCTTTAAATTGCCTTAAAGCAGCATTTATAGTACTGTATTTTTAGCCAGAATCTTCAGTTCTGAAGGATGCTGTAAGATTGTGTTCTGCATATTTAATAATGGAAGCTGTCACGTAATCATTGTATTTATATATTTTAAAGGTGAAAAAGTGTTGCAGCATGATGAATTCACTCGAGATCTATTTAGATTTTTACAACTGCTCTGTGAAGGGCATAACAATGGTAAGCAAGAAGACTTAATTTTGGGGAAAAAATGATGAGAGCAAATGATAACCCTACGCTTAAACATAACTGACTGTAACTCATTCTAAGATTTTTTTTTTTCCTGATTTAGTATTCTGAGGGAGAGTGACACACCAAAAATGTTAATTGTGGATGTTAATTAGAATTTCTAAGTCTTAATGTAGTTTCAGATTTTATACAGATCATTAATACCAAAACCTCTTACAAAGACAGACATATGGTTAACAGTTATGTGAGTGTAGTGGCATACAGTAGTTCAATATCCAGCACAGATAATGAGCATCCTTACCCAGCAAGGTACTGAAAAAGAGTATCTTCTCCATGAATATATAAAAACAATCTTGTATTTTTCTTTCTTGTCCATACTAACTAAGCACAAATGCCTTATTTACTTCAGATTTTCAAAATTACCTACGTACTCAGATGGGCAACACCACAACAGTGAATATCATCATTAGTACGGTTGACTACCTCTTGCGTCTTCAGGTGAGGAAAAAATCAGAAGAAAATGAAACGTAACATAATTTTCTTTCCTTCATTTTGATAAGTTCACATTTTGATGGCATCGAAGATGAGGTTCCTCTCTTCTATCCGGGATATAACAAAAATAATAAAAAATAAAAAGAATTGAATTTAATTTATTTTGTCTTCCTTTTTAAGATAGATGACTTTTCAGAATTCTTCATGAAACCACATTTTTGTTAATTTCATTGTTTACTTCTGTAGACAGCATAGTTAGATAAAAACATAAGAACCTGTTGTCATGAGAAACAGATTAACTGAACGTCAACTGATTCAACTTGTGGTGATAAGCATGCAGGCAGTAAAAACTGCTTTCAAAATCCTAAATTAGAAAATGTAACACTGTGCTTTTTCTTAGGAATCAATCAGTGACTTCTATTGGTACTATTCAGGAAAAGAGGTTATTGATGAATCAGGACAACGTAACTTCTCTAAAGCTTTGGCTGTCACCAAACAAATATTCAATTCCCTTACCGAATATATACAGGTAAATGAAAGGTTTTGTCCAAGATATTAACAATGAAGTTCAGTAATTACATGATCTGATCATGTAATGTTGCAAGTTTGTAAACATTTGGCTTTATTTTTCTTATTTTTGACAGTTAGATTGAATCACTGGCCCAGTGAAAAGTTAATATTAAAATAATGGCTTCATATTTGACATGATGAAATCTCTTTTTTTACATGCTACATGCCAAAGAAATTGTAAGAAACTTTCTTGTGTAGCTTCATGGAAGCCTGACATTTGTTTGCTGTTTTGTTGTTGTTTTTTGTTTGTTTGTTTGTTTTGTATTTTTGGTGTTTTTTTTATATGTTTGTTTTTATTTTTTCAGGTAGATGCCTTAGGAAGGTGAAACGTTACTTTGATTTTATATAAGTAAAAAATGTTTTTCTTACTTCTAACTTTTTAGGGACCTTGCATTGGTAACCAACAGAGTCTGGCTCATAGTAGGCTGTGGGATGCAGTTGTTGGATTTCTTCACGTATTTGCCAATATGCAGATGAAACTTTCACAGGTATTTGCAAGAGCTAAGTGATGCTTCTTTGTATCTGGTTATAAATTACAGTCAAGTGAACAGTGAAAGCTGTGAATAAACTAACATACTGGCTCTTGTTGACTGCATGGGTAATTGCCATGTAAAGGTACAACACAGAATCTTCCAACAAACATCTTCATACCACTCCTTTTATCTGCCAGTCATTGCTGTGCACATATCTTTATCTATCTATCATATCATATCATCTATCTATCTATCATATCATATTATCATATCTATCACACAAGATCACTCCTTTCAACTCATTTACGCCTTTCTGTTAGTGACTGCGGCAATTTAGTTCCTCCCTCCTTGTTGTCAAAACCTAACGATCTGTTACATCTGAAGCACCATTAAAAGCATGGTTTCTATGCTACACATAGAGAGGGCAAGAGAAAAGCTGGGAAGGATTGGAAGAGGGAGGGAATGTGACAGTGAGTCACCTTGTCCAGTTAATTCACCACATCCACTGGACAAGAGGACTACAAACAGTGTTCATTTCACTGTGCATGGCTTCACCGCATGCCTCAGTTTTAGTCCCGTACACTTGCTGAGTGAAATGCTGCAGAGTCATTTCCCCCCCTATATTCATGTCTTTGCTACCCTCTGACTTGCTCAGACAAAACAAAAGTTTTTGTTTTTTTTTTTTAACACAAAAGTATATCACAATTCCATGGACACATAAATGTTAGTCATGAAATCGTATTAGTTTTGTCAAATTCTGTGCTGTATTTTCTAAACCTGCTGAAGTACTAATTCTATTTTAAGTGGCAGTACATGATGCCACTACATATTCCCTGTGAAATGAAAAAGGATGTTTTCATTCTGAGAATACTGACTGATTTTTGGAGTACCAGCTTTGTGAGTTTCCACTGTCCCTTATCTGCACTTCACTATTTCATAATGCTTTATTAAAGCTTTATGCTAATAATACCTTTGCTGCAGTAACTTACCATGCTATTGTTATAAGACCTTTGATAGTAATCATAATAATTACTAGGAAATTTTGCTGAATAATGTGAACTAACTTCAAATGACTGTCCTGCATATTGTTTTACTCCGAATGTATCCCACATAAATACGAAGAAAAAACAACCCTATACTCTGTACTGTTTCATTTGCTTTTTTTTGTTTGTTCTATTTTTTAATACAGGACTCTGCTCAGATTGAACTGCTTAAAGAGCTTCTAGATCTGCTAAAGGATATGGTTGTGATGTTGTTGTCATTACTTGAAGGTTCGAGCCATTTCTCTTTTTATGATTCAGTATTATTGTCTCAGCTTTATAATGTAAAGTCCAAGTATTATGGTAAACTTTATTTACCTCTGATAGTATATAATGCCAGGATGAAATCGACTTTATATTTATTTAACAATTAGTCTGAAATATGAATATCCATGAAAAAAGAGGTCTTCTGCAGACAAGCATATTGGAAAAAAAATTATGAAATACAGAAATGGAGGTTTTGGTTCAGTTCTCAGTGTGAATATGAAGTTCCTTTATTTAAAATACAGAGGCATCAAATAACTCATTTTTTTAACACTACTTAGGTAACGTTGTAAATGGAACGATTGGAAAACAAATGGTCGATACGCTTGTAGAATCATCTAGCAACGTAGAATTGATCTTGAAGTTTTTTGACATGTTTCTCAAATTAAAAGATTTAACTAACTCGGATGCTTTCAAAGAGCATGACCCAGATGGTAAGGGCATCATTTCAAAGAAGGATTTCCAGAAGTCAATGGAGGCTCAAAAACAATATATACAATCAGAGATTGAATTCCTGCTGTCATGTACAGAAGCTGATGAAAATGATATGTTCAACTACGTTGATTTTGTAGAAAGATTCCATGAACCAGCCAAAGATATTGGCTTTAATGTAGCAGTTTTGCTAACAAACCTTTCAGAGCATATGCCTAATGACTCACGCCTTCAGAGCTTACTTGAACCTGCAGAAAGTGTTCTTAATTACTTTGAACCATACCTTGGCCGTATTGAAATAATGGGTGGAGCCAAGAAAATAGAAAGAGTTTACTTTGAAATCAGTGAATCCAGTAGAATGCAGTGGGAGAAGCCACAGGTGAAGGAATCCAAAAGGCAATTCATATTTGATGTTGTAAATGAAGGTGGAGAGCAAGAAAAAATGGAGCTCTTTGTGAATTTCTGTGAAGACACAATCTTTGAAATGCAGTTAGCATCCCAAATCTCTGAGACTGATTCAGCTGAGAGACCTGAGGAAGAGGAAGAAGAGCCTTGCTACGTTGTAGATATCGGAGATGATGAGGAAGAAAAGTCCCTGGAATCTCCTTCAGCTTTTGCAATGGCCTGTACTGCAGTCAAGAAGAACGTAGCCAACTTTTTAAAAATGGTTACTGTGAAGAACTTAAGGAAACAGTACAGGAAAGTCAGAAAGATGACACTAAAAGAGATGGTGAAAGTGTTTTTCTCTTTTTTCTGGATCCTATTTGTAGGGGTGTTCCAACTGTTCTTTAGTATAGTGTGGGGAATTTTCCAGATTCTTTGGAGCACTGTATTTGGGGGTGGACTGGTTGAAGGAGCCAAAAACATTAAAGTTACTAAAATACTAGGGGACATGCCTGATCCAACGCAGTTTGGAATCCATGATGATGTCACAGAAACAGAAAAAACTGAAGGTGCTGAGCATGGCATTAGAGATGAACTTGTGCAGTTCGTAAAGGGTGAAAAGGGAGAAACTGACATAATTTCAGATATTTTTGGCATTCCTACTAAGAAAGAAGGTGGCTCAAAACATGGTCATGATGCTGGACTTGGAGATATTGCAGAAATACTCGGCTCTGATATCCAGTCTTCTCTGGAAAACAGTGTTCGTAAGAAAAAAGGATTACAGGTATGTGAAAGATTTTGTATTTCTTTCCAGGAAATACTAATATATCTATATTACTGGCTTTTCTAGTCGCAACTGAATTATTTGCAAACTAACTGACTGATGTTATGGATGAGAAGATATTTTATAATCTCTGCTCTTAAAGAAAAGAATTTTCGTGTTCTTGTTTGTTCTGCATGCTCATCTTTTTTTATACTATAGTATACTTCAGTTACCTTTTCATTTACTTTCTCAATAATAATGGTATAATTATACAATATATAATTATAATAATATAGTATATAATACCATAATATATAATTATCTTCTTTCTTTTACATTGTGTAGTAGTCATACACTACTCATATACAATAAAATAGCCTTTTTCCTGTTATTTGAAGTAATTTTCCTTGAATTTACTTTTACTTTAGTGTTTATTGTGTTTTCATACTTTTTTTTTTATTGCTTATTAAGAGTTTATTCTGTTCCTCTGCTGAGATGAATATGTTTTATAATTCTATTTAAACATGGACCTGAGCTAAACATCAAAACCGAAATGCTTTTGTCAGATTAGGAGGGATGTTTATATTTCAGATTTGTTTCTAATTGTTATTGAAATATTTCTTTCTTCTGATTGGATTTAACCCACCTATTTATAGTATGCTTTCTAGAAATATCTAAGAAGAACCTTCATTATACAACTTTTTAGTTCATTATTCCCTCTTCATTCAAATGTTTTCATCCAAGATTTAATTTCTTATTTATTTATTCATTCATTCATTTTAATGTGTATACTAAAAGTGTTACTTTTAACTTAAGGACTTTAGGTCAGAGTAAATAGTTTTAAATTTTCTTCAATAAATATTTATTTTCTTTGATTTGTACATTTCTCCCAGATTTCTTTGTAAGTATTGATAAAATGGTCCATTGTTTGAGATACTCTCAGTTATCAATGTGACTTCAGTTATCCAACTTAGCTGCCTTTTACATTAATGTTATTTAGTGAACTCTACCAAATTACTTTTTGCACAATCTATATTACAATAAATTGCTATTCACATTGTGCATATAGAAAGTTTAAGTAGTCTAGTTAGAACAATAACAGTATTACATAAATATTGACTAGAACTCAGAAAAGAAACAGCAATGCAAAAATCAGGAATTCCCATCAGAATGTCTTGCACAACCATTCACAATAATAAAAGATACACAAATGGATAGAAACAAAAATCTGTGTCTGTATACTCAAAGAGGAAAAAAAAAAAACACAACAGTTGTGTAGCGATTAATGGCATTACCATCTAGCTAGAAAAACTACAAAATAACTTATGGAATTGTGTGATCATGGTGAAGATAAATAGGAGTTAGGTTTTACATAAAAGTTTGATTAGCCTGTGCTGAGAGTCACATAGGTTCACAAATATGGAAATACTTGAAGAGTAAGCTAAGACTGCAGATAAATCTTGCTACTTGTGGCAATGAAATCAAGATCTAACTGAGAAGTTAGAAGAACCTTAAAATAGTAATGCGAGTCAGTGAAATAGTGCATAAGAGAGAAAAAAAATCTGATTTTGCATGTAAAATTATGGATTTTGACATTATCCTAACTACACAGTAGGAAATCTTGGAACTACATTACAGTTCTACAGAAATATTATATCAATGAAATCATCAGTTAACACATGTCAAAGAAGCAAACTGAAGTTCTGCATTATCAAGAAAAGAACTGAAGGAATTATAACACAGAGCACTGTTACGCCAAATGAACCCAAAATAAACCAGCACCTTGCAAAATGGAGTCTCCCATTCCAACAAGAATATGTTGGACTGAAATAGATTCAGGGAAATTGAAAAAATTATCGCAGTTATGGAACAAATCTTGTGTATGCAATCAAGTAGGCTAAGGCTCTTCAGCCTGAAAAGAAGACAACTGAGAGAGCTAAGGCAGCTTTTTACAAAAATGTATGGTAATAAATTTACACAATTTAGATTCTTTTCATAAATATAGATCCTGAATCTCAGCCTTTTCAGTGAAGCTTAGATACTTGAACTGCTTTTGAAATTAACTTTGGTCTGGCAACGCTGAGTGTAAGGATGTTTGAAATTTGGGCCCTAGCTTCTCTCTTGCAGTTAACAAAATTGTAAAATTGTGCATTGGTTTTTCCTTATGTGAAGGGGCTGTTTGAAACATATGCTTAAATGATTGTGAGATGTGCCAGTAAAATTTTAGTGGATCATCTATCCAACTAACACAAATAGTTTGAGAAGATACACTGCATACATAAAAGTTGTTTAGGTTTTTGTCAGATTCCAGTTGCATCAGTTGATTTTGACAAAGTAATTGAGTTTTGCAATGCCTAATAATTACACAGGTCTTTTTCAGATTTTTGATGCTGTCACTGACACAGTATATTATTCTTCATTTTGTACTTGGAAAGAGGCAAATTGATTTTTTGCATAACCAGTAGCTGCACTGAGTCTTTGTGAGTGAATTTTATATTTCAGGGTATAGTCTGGATGTTGTTACTTACCTTCATTGTCTGATAACAGTGAGTAATTAGGTTGTTCAGTTATCTGTACTAGTTACAGTATTGATAACACTGTTTAAAAAATTTATCATATGAAGATATAAAGCATTCACAGTTAAAATTCTTGTCTGAACTGTCGAAACGAAATCGAAGTCTTTACAAGAGTAAACTGTTATAAAAGATGCAGTGTGGTAATTATTTAATTTCTTAGAAAACAGTCAATAATGTTATCAAAAATTTATGTGAGAGGGTTCATTTTGACAGTTAATGTTTTTCACAGACACCTGAAACTGCAAAAGAAGCTGAAGCAGAAAGAAAAGTGGAAGCTGAGAAGGCAGAGTGAGTTATCTTTACACAATTCCTCTTTAAATCCTTGCTACTTCCTAATATTAGATAACTTTGCCATAATGAATCTAAGCAATATTTTGAATCGCGGCGCAGTCTCTAAGAGGTAGCAGTACATCCCAGTGGACAACAAAATACAAACTTTTAGGCAGAATTTGACAATTCTGCACATATAAGTTCATGGTCATTGTCTTCAAAAAACAAAAAAAAAATCGTTTAAGAAATGAGCAGCAGTCCTGAAGAAAAGTCTGCAGCTTGTCAATACTACATGACAATAACGTGTAGCAGTTTCAAAACTAATTTGCATTTAAAACCAAATGTTCTGAATTAGGATTCCCTCTAAATTAATGCATTTATAGCGCAGAAGTTCATCAGGGCTTACTTAGCTGATCTTTCTTCTAGCATGGAAGATGGTGAGAAACAGGATAAAGCAAAGGAAGAACAGTCTGAGCAGCCAGAAGAGGGAAAAACAAAGAAAAAGAAGCGAAGGCATGGACAAAAAATTGAGAAACCTGTGGCTGTTATGGCTAATTTCTTCAAAGCTCTGGAAATATATCAAACAAAAATGCTTGTAAGTTTTTTCTTAAATTCTATTCAACATTTATTCATATAATAGAATGTTCGATTGAAATCTAAGAGAGAAACTATAGCAGAAACATAGGCCTAAGTTTTCAAAAGACTGTATTGATTTACTTCTCATTTTTTGTAATACTTTGTAGAATTATATACATAGCAAGAATATATATGTGTGTGCTTAACAGGACAGACTAGGTAACCTCCTAAGCTCCTTTTTAGGAAGCCTGTTTTCTGTGATCTAGTTTCTAGAATCTTTTATTCTACTTTCTTGAACAGGGAGTGCCCATAGTTCTATGGCACCTTATTTGTTCTTACAAATATCAAATTAAGAACTCTAAAAACTTCCCATGTAGTTTATTCCAGCACTTCTCTTGAAGATTTCTTCCTATACAGTTTCTATTTGTCTTCTTATTGCAATTCTATGCCCATTATTTTACCATTAAATGGAAGAACAGACTGCCAAGAAATGCACTGCTTATTTTAACTGGCATATGAGGGCACCACAATTATGTATTTACATTCTTAGAAACCTTAATGCTTACCTTTCTCATTTTGATGTTATCTGAAGACTATCACTAATTTGTTTTGTTTTTCCACTTTATTTACAGCACTACCTGGCAAGGAACTTTTACAACTTACGGTTTCTTGCTCTATTTGTTGCATTTGCCATTAACTTTATTCTGCTATTTTACAAGGTAAGCTTTTGCATTATTCTTTAAATGTTTTTACTTACTTCCAGAGGAGTATTTAATGTTGGATTTAGGGCTGTTTTAATAAAGCAAGTATTAGAGTTCTTTCAAACACAAACTGAATGCATTTAGCTATGAAGAAGTTAAAATAATATCTTAAGCTTCATATCTAAAATTTGTGATGTGAAACTTATTTTGGTTTTACTTCACTTGGGATGAATGAAAAGACAAGCTGAATTTGTGTTTCTAGGCATTTTTTATTTATTTGCCTAAGTCTGTTTATGGTTCCTTTGTTTATTTTGACACTGGAAATTTAAAATCCAACTAAAGTAACTTTTTTTTTTTTTTTTTAATCTCATTTGTTCTAAGGATACAGAGAGGCTTAACTATAATCAGCTATTACATTTTCCCCTTTTCTAAGAAGTCCTACTGACTACAGTTATTTTTTTCCCCCAGGAAATACTTTGTACATAATTTTAGAATCAGATATTGCCAGATAATTGTAAATTGTCATATACCTGTACTTGCTTTTCCTAGATTTTCTTTTCAGTGAAATGAGATTATGTAGAGAATTCAGCTGTGAAAATGAATTGATGTTACTGTTCAAAGCTAATGGTCTTATCTACTAGCTTCACAAGGGCAGGCTTTAGATACATCAGTTATTAGGTAGAACTTAGGGATTTGTCAGTATGATAAAGGAAAAGCTTTTAAGTTTACTGTGTGTATTCAATGTGCTTAAATTTCTCTTAGGTGACAGAAGAGCCACTTGATGAAGTGGAAGAAGACTCTAATCTCTGGAACTCTTTTGAAGAAGAGGAAGAGGAGGAAGGAATGGTATTTTTTGTTTTGGAAGAAAGTACAGGTTACATGGCACCCACTCTCAGAGCACTGGCAGTTATTCATACTATCATCTCCTTTGTCTGTGTGATTGGATACTATTGCTTAAAGGCAAGTTCTGAATCTTATTACTAATCTACATTTGGTAAAACATGTAGTTCCAAAGTGATTTTTGGAGCTGAGATTAAAATACCTGTTTTATCTACTTCTTTTCAAATTAATATGTAGATGCAACCAAAACCGTTCTATGACACCAAGCTTTCCTCACATACGAGGTCTGGCAGGGATAGAATTAACTTTTTACATATCACAGTGTATGTTTGGATTTGAGTCTGAGACAATGTTGGTAGCATCCAACTTTTGGTTATTGCTGAGCAGTGCTTGTACTCTGTGAACATTTTGTCTTTGTTACCCACTCCATGTGACCCCCAGTGACTATGCTGGGAGTGAGCAGACACTGGGAGGAAGCACAACTAGGAGAGCTAACCCAAACTGGCCAAGCAGCTGTTTTATACCATGTAGTGTTTTGCATGATAAGAAAAGCTGGGCTTGGTAGAAGAACTTCTTTTCCAAGGTGGCTGTTGTTTGGCATTAGTTTGCTTGTGGAAAGTGGGGAGTGGCTGCCTTTACATCACTTTGTTTTTCTTCTCTTTAAACTGTTTTTGACTCGAGACAAGTTTTCTTGCACTCTTACTGTTCCACTAGGAGTGGGGCACAGTGAGTAAGAGGCTGTGTGAGTACTTAGTTCTCACAAATAAGGCGATACTATAGCATTTAAACCATTCAGAGTTGAGAGTCCTTGGTTTTATGTTTAAATGGTAACCAATTTTTTGTCTACACTAATCAAACCCTCTGTTTGGGGGTAATGCAAAGAATTAGCCTGGGAGAAGAAAGGCAGTAATACTTCTAGCAGTCTCTAAATTGAATTTTTGGGTGTAACCGCAAGCTTGCTTTATGTGAGGTTATGAAGAAAATCAAATGAAACAAACTATTCTAGCTCACCAAGGCAATCCATCTTTCTTAGTTCCTTGTCCCTCTTCTTATCTGTGACTTGCTCATTTTGGAGTTCAAAGTCATACTGCGTTAACATTTCCACTGCAGAACAGCAGGACTGTCAGCTGTCAACAGAATTACAAAATCAAGATAGTGAATGCAGCGGTGTCTTGAATCTTGTTTTATGTTTTAAGTTTAATTTCATTATTTGGTATGAATACATATGTATATTGTTCATGATATTCTAAGAGCTGCTAGGAAGAACTTGATTATCAGTAACAGAAATCAACACTATCACTGGCATGAGAACACCTGAGTCACATCTCTGATTGTTGTCTCTAGTTGTCAGAATTGTTTGGGTTTATATAGTAGTATAAAGAGTACGATGTAGATAGGCCATTACAGTTTCCAGCAATATGTAAACCTTAACCAAGATGTCCACTGTCATTTTCATAGGTCCCTTTGGTTGTGTTCAAGAGAGAGAAGGAGGTAGCTAGGAAGCTGGAATTCGATGGATTATACATAACTGAACAACCATCTGAAGATGATATTAAAGGACAATGGGATCGCCTGGTTATAAACACACCGTATGTAAAATTAAGTGTATAAATATTAATTGTATATATATATATATATATATAGTAGTTTATTAAGCCACTGATATAGAACCTAACCTGTTCATGATCACCTACTCCGTCTAAAAGAAAGGCATTTTTCACTCTGTATTAGATACTATAGTAGTGGATTCTAATTTGAAATCTGCCTTTTCATTATTTGCAAGAATTGTGCATCTTTTCTCATAATCTCTCTCCCTAAGACATTTTACAAGTTAGTCACTATTGAGAATTTCCCCTGCCTCAATTTCATATTCATTCTCTGTAGCATTATTCTCTCCTGCATCTTTTTTCCCATTTTTTGCTAACAAAATTTATAAATGACAAGGAAATTAAACTTAAGTGTAAAATAGAAATTGCAGAATTTGAGTAGGCCCAACAGGCGTAACTGTCAGGTTCTATGCATTAGCAAATACTACAATAGTCATATGCTGATTCTAGGAGACTCACCTGCCATTCTGTATTTGGATGATAAAACTGCAGGCAAGAGAAAGAAAAATGTCAGCAGGCTCTTCCTGCTGAGCAGTAGCAGTCTGAGAGGTCACCTTGATTTTCTTTCCTTACTTCAGATGCTGTTTAACCAAAATAGCTGGATACATGATTCAATCTAAATTGCCACAACAAAATGCTGTCAAACAGGTTATTTCTAAGTAAACCCAGCACAATTTAATTTGAAGAGATAAATTTAGAGCTTTTATTCAAAGATAATTCTATAAGCAACAGTCATTAGCCCTTGGACAAATTAATAATAACCAGAAATGTGGGTAAATAGTTGGTTTTAATCTTTCACCAAAAAAATGCATAAATACGTTCCACCAATTTGGTACACATTAGAAAAGCTATGATGCAGTTTTCACTAACATGTATGGAGGCATAAATAACTATTTGATAAAAACAAGACAGCAAAAATCAACAACTCAGTGTATCAGTTACACTGTGCTGTCTAACTGCCAAAATATCCATCTTATCAGACATACAATATTTTTGTAAGTAATAAATAGCACCATTGGTACTCTGATTAAATTTACAGTTTCCATATTATCCGAAATTCTTGAACACAGTATTTTCCTACAGAGAATTAAGAATTTTTCATTTAATTTAGCTTGAAATTTAGACTACAATATAAGGTCACTTGATTATAATAATATTTTTCAATGGTGACAAAATATTGTTAAATCCAGAGTGATTTTCTGCGTGGAGACAGCTGAATCGTAGAAAATCAAAATAAGCAGTAGTAAAAAAAATACAATTGCTTCTCAGTTCTCAGAAAAAGTTTAGAAAGATTCTCAGAAAAAGTTTATTGTCAGCCATATCTGAATTCAGTATCCTAGCCTGATTTGCTAATTCCGTGTTTATTTTTTTTTAATAATAATAATTTAATTTAATAATTTTTAGGGCCCTTGTCTCCAACAGGCAGGAGTAAAACATCCAGCCTTTTCAGAGAATCTTTTCTTTCTCACTCCTGATTCAGTCGAAATATAGAGAGAGTAGTAGAGAATTCTAACAGTGTAACTCTTATCTGTTCTACTGATACTTTTCCAAGGACAGTCTTAATATTTTCAACTCAGTATCTTTGTAAAAATACAGAGAAGCCTTCTGCAAAGTTCAAACATCTGAAGTAATGGGAAGTATAGGGAAGTCAATGAAATAATAGATTGATATGAGGCAGTGGAACCACAATACATCTGCAAAACATTATAGATACAAACCTAGCTATGAGGAAAAAGGCTGTTGTAAGCAATTTCAAATTGACAGTGCTTTCAGAAGTGTGTCTAGATAACGTGGACACAGAGATCAGTCAGTTAAGTAGGTTCTCTTAGTCTTACAGCTTGCCAGGTACCCTGGACTTGATATTCTCTTAGGACCTCTGTTGTAAAATGTTTTTGGCTGACTTCCTAGAAGAAACTAATTTGCATTATAGGCCCGGTTCATGCTGGTATGTGACCAGTTTCAAAGACATGGGAATGAAAATGCAATAACCATTCATATTTTCTTCTGCATAGCTGCTCTGGAGTGTCCAAAACACAGCAATCGCTGTCTTTTAATCCCATATGTTTTGACCTAGCCAGACTTACTAATTTGCTAAGTGAAACAGATAATGCCCACTGAAGTGGCAAAAATCTTGTCATCTGTTTCTTTAGCAATACTGATGTACCCAGTCAGCCTCATTTTCTGTCAGTGTTGCAGAGTTAATTAAGCTGCTTTTTATCAAGATAAATTTTGCAGAATATATAATATCTACATATCTTCTTTGATTTATGAAGCTCCTAAACATGAATGAGTGGAAGACTCTCATTATTCTTCTGATCCTTGTTATGCCTTTAAGCCAGTAGTGGCACAAGCTCAGGCCCCATTGAAAAGATGATAGCAGAGGATTCCCAAACATAGGGAAATGTAACTTCAAAAGTGCCATATCAGGCTGACTGGTGAAAAGGCACAAGAAGAAAAATCAGAGGAAGTACAAAAGAAAAATTCTAAACACAGACTGAAAACAGAGATTAGATCTGGCTTAGAGCACCGAAACCACACGCACTTTTACTCCTGACACGAGCATATAATATCTCTCAGAGAGCTGATTTCCATGTTGAATCTGCTACTAAAAATAATACCTTCATAGATCACTACGGCCTCAAGGGCTAAGAGAATGCTCTTGAATTTAGCAAATGCAATTTTAGTGATGGTGGAAACTGTGGTTTCTCTATTGGGTAACTAAGAGCTCTTGCCTCATTTTCAACCTTTAACTATTGAGAGCAAGCTATCTAGATACCCAGCCAGCGTGTCCTCAGCAAAAATAAGCATAAATTAATTAATAAGATGATATGTTGCCAGCTTACTCCAACTGACACGCTGTACAGCCTGTTCTCAGCATGCTGCGCTATCTAGTTAAGTTAAATGAAAGATTAAGGCTAAACGTAAGCTGACAAAGCGTTCCTTCTGATGGGAACTAACTCATAAGGTTTAATGACTATATCATCAGGTTCCCACTGCTGGAGGGTACAAACTGCTATGAATATGCTGAGATGTGCTTTTTATAAGTTAAAAAAGTATTTTAAAAGACAGGATACCCTTTTAAATGCAGCAGAGTTGCATTTTGCAGTAAAAGACATACACACAAACTCCAGTAGAGACAAACTTGGCTTACAAGCATAAGAAATCAAAGAAAGAAGTAATTAACAGTATAGAGGATTGAACCAGAATATATCAACTGAGTTACTGAAACTATTTATCTAAAGTGTCCATCTAGAATAATTTCATTCAGAAATTCAGTCTGGAAAAATCAAAAATTGAACATGTAGTAGCTGGGAAGCTTTCCTAAACTCCTCACAGTGGACCAGCATTGGAGGAACTCAGTCTTGCAATCTTAAAACTAGCTTTATTTTATCAGTATTGTCCTTTAGCTTGAAGAGTTATTTTGTTTTTTTTTTTTTTTTCTTTACTTGGCTGTATTAGATTTCATTCCGTTGAGCAGCAAAAAAGCTTCAAACCTACCTCTTCCACAGTTATCAGTCTGACAGCTGCAACTCAACATTGTTTCCTGCAACATCCAGGAAATTGAGAGAGAAAAACCTACATAAAATATAGTAAGATTGTCAGAATGAAGAAGTGCTTAACAATAGCAGCTCTACTGGTATTAAGTTCAAGAACAGTATTTTTATGATCAAATTGTAGGATAAGGAAACTTCACTGATAGCATAAAGCATTTTCTCTTGTAGGTAACAGCTGTTGTATTTCTTAGTGTCTGTTATAGACCTCCTAGATAAAACCAGTTGCTTACTGAAGCATCATGGTTGCTCACTACTCTGGAAAAAAAAGCAGGGAGTTTTCAAGAATGACACCTAAAATACTTGCAGTTTACCGCTCCATTTCTTTCTCTTTTGTATGCTTTTCTTGTAATTACCAGGAAGGATATGGCTGTTCAGAAACAGAGGCTGGAAAAACCTCTTAGCTGAACGTATAGCTTTACCTAGTTTTGTTATGAAAATTCAGACCCTGTAAAACAATATAACACCTGAGAATGAGATGACCACTAACTGATTTTTTTTCATGCATGTAGCTTTTTTTGTAGCAAATCACATTTGTAACTACAGAAAAAAAAAGAGAGAAAAAATATGCAGTGACTACTATTTCAAAGAGACTGTCCTGATAGCTGTTGTCCATACCAAAAGAAATTGTTTTCCTAATTCAAAGCGTGAATGAATGAAATTGTACCAGAATCTGCAGTGACTGTGAATTTTTGTTGTTTTTTCTTTTCCATAACAAGCTGGATAACTTGAAATATCTTTGCCTTATCTATGCAGGTCATTTCCTAACAATTACTGGGATAAATTTGTAAAACGAAAGGTGAGCTTTTCATATACAAACAATTGAGAACTGAAATTTGTTTTGTGAAGTCACTGTTGTTCACTGAGAGATTTACCACAGGTAGTTCTAGTTTATGTGGAGGGAGGAGGGAGAAAGAATGCTGTTTTGGTTTAGTTCCCAGAGTCAAATGCACTCAATAACTTTGTGCTGTCAATCAGCCATCTAGGTCCATTTTACAGCCATTGTCATCTTTAGGAGATAAAGCCCACTCGTTGCTTAAAAAAGGAAAAACATGTCAGCTTAAACGATGGTAAATTATACAGAAGCTTTTAGATAATGGCATTTAATGCTTCTATTTTTCTTTCATATGCTCCCTACCTATCTGTGGTCCTCTTGGGAGTTCTCACTGTTCAAGTAACATTAATTGTAAAAGAGTGGGGGTTTTTTTGTTGTTGTTTGTAGAAGCTCACTTTTTCTGTTTCCCTTTTTTTTATTTTTTATTTTTAATTTTTTTTAATTTCTAACAGCTACTTGTTTACGGTAATAATTACCAAAGTCTTTCTCAGACCAAAAGCGTCTTTCCTTGCACTTTTAGGTTATTAACAAGTATGGAGACTTGTACGGAGCAGAGCGTATAGCAGAACTTTTGGGTTTGGACAAAAATGCCCTTGATTTTAGTCCAGTAGAAGAAAGCGAAGCAGAAGCAGCTTCTCTTGTATCATGGTATGACTTCAGAGCTTTATGGACAAACTGTATGTTGTTATAGCTTCTATTTCAAAGATAAAAATGGATTTTATATTGAAATTGTAGTGATGTTTTCCTCTGTATGGAAAATTCAAATGGACAAGTCTTTCTTGTGAAGAATTAAAATCAGCAAATATGTTTTAAGACACACAAAAAGAGCTTACCAAAAGAAAGAAAAAGTATTGACAACAAGTATCTAGATGTCAGATATCTAGACAAAATTCAGAGATATCTATTCTATAGTTGATGAAGTCAGGAAGCCAAGTGATTGAAAGTAGCCCAGTCACATTTCACTGATGATTTTTGGCTTCTTGAAGACATGAAAAAGGATTTCTGCTCAGCAGTTATTTTCTAGTAGTTACTGAAAAAATTATTAACTTTCCTTTTGGTAATATAACATTTTACACTAGAGAGAACACCTGCCATTTAAATTTAAAACAGGTAGGCTCCATATTTCATTACTTTTAACACATATTTTTAAGTCTGGAATAGACCAGCGTCAATTCTAGTGAAATCATTCCACCAATTACAGATGTTAGAAACTCTGCATGGGTGCCAAGACTTAAAGAATTCTCTCTGCAAAATGAAGCATCTAAAAAGCCCAGATAATAAACAGCAAATACACATCACCAACTTTAACTACATGCATATGAAGTGCTAACACAGCTTGTTACTTGGAGAATTTAGTACTTCATTTTGACACTTAATGCATTTCAAATCTGGTATTTCCTAGGTTAAGTTCCATTGATACAAAGTACCACATTTGGAAGCTTGGTGTTGTTTTCACTGATAATGTAAGTATGTTAACCTAGAAGAATATTCTTTGATTTACTCTAAATGTGAATGTATGTCTTCCACTACCTGTTTTTATATTAAACAAATATATTCTATGCAAGTAGTATTGAATTACAGAGCCATTTTTAAAATAGTTTTTCTGTTTTGCCTTGAAGCAAATGGCTTTGCATTAGCATTTCCTATTTGATTCCAAAGGGAAATAAATACTTATTCACCCTTAACACAATGCTAGCATTTGGGAAGTTAAAAGGTACATTCATTTAATTGTGTATAAATCATATTAGCAACCAAAGGTGCCCTTTCTCAGATCAAACACAGTACATGGAAACTTACCCTTTTTTATTCTTGAATTTGCTTGGTATGTTTGGTTAATTCTCTGCTTTCGTGCCTTCTCTGAAAGCCTCAAATTTACATTAAAATACCCTTTTTTGTCAGTATTCTTTTTTGCATCTTTTTGAGAATGCCCAAGCAAATAGGAAACCAAGAAGAATAAACTGAAGCATAAATTCAATATGCACTAGAAGTACACTGAACTACTGTTTACAAACAAGATATTTTCTTTCATGTCAAACTGTGTTCAGATTTACTACTCATTAAAAATAAGCTGTACTGTGGACCATATGTCTTCTGGGCATCTTGAGACTTAAAAATAGTGAAATGCCTTAAAAATAATATAATGCATTTTGCCTCCCTCAGAATCGGTCTTAAAACTTTAAGTGCTGTGTAACAAGCTCCCTAACCAAACCAGTTTTAAGGTAGGGGATTTCAGTGCTCATAACATATATGCTGAAAACACTGCATTTAAATATGTAATATAGAGAGGTCTCATTAGCATAAGCAATTTTAAATGAACACAACTTTAAATGAATCAAGTTGGTAAGAAATAGAGCCTTTCTGAACAAATGTCCTAGACATACTACATTCAGATTGCATTACATAATTTGTACTACATTAAAATCAGATCATTGTACTAATTTTTCATTTCAAATTTCACTCTCTCTGCAGTCATTTTTGTATTTGGCTTGGTACACAACTATGTCTATCCTTGGACACTACAACAACTTCTTCTTTGCTGCTCATCTGCTGGACATCGCTATGGGTTTCAAGACATTGCGAACCATTTTGTCCTCCGTAACTCACAATGGCAAACAGGTTGGTTTTACATACAGAGGTTTGAAATTAATGCATTTTGTAACAATATTAAAAAAAGTCCTGGGGTACCTAGGAAATATTACAATACAATTCATTTTGATCATGAATAGATTAAAGAAGACTTCTTCAAGTCCTCTGCAGCACATTTAGTACGTGATTATTCCTATAAAAATATAACAATCTATGATCAGTGAGTGCTGATAACGAAAAGTGTTTTGTACACAATAAAAATATGCATCATTTCAGAAGAATATATGAATTATGGCATAACCAGCTCCTTCTGTACACTCTATGATGAATAGGTTGGTGATAACTGACAGGAATTCACAATCTCTCCTTAGCTACAGAGGTAATAATGATCTGAGAACAACTGAGATTTCAATACTTAGCTAGTAAGAATGTTCTTAGAGGTACAGACATTCTGCATTATGGAATCTATTTATATGTCATTATCTCCTGAAAAAATCATGTTAAAATGCACTTCAAAAACTAACTGTGGAAACTTCTATGGGGAGTCACTCTTTGATCTTTGTACTGTATAAGATTACAAACCAACAAAAGCAACCTTTACATTAATGTTTTTGTTTTTTTTTTAATGCTGATCTCAACCTTATTAAATTATTAAACATTATTAAATGTTGAGATCAGCATTAAAAAAAAAAAAACATCTCAACATTTAATAATGTTGACAAACCTAAACCTAACAAAACTTCCAAAAAATTCCATTTCAAACAAACACATTTCATTTGTTCTCAAATACAGCATATATTTTAAGTCTATTCTTACAGTCTGTTAGGCATGTAAAAACACATAAAGGAATGTAACATTTTGAAGAGTCATAAAAGCATCCTCCTTAGTTTAACTTTTATACTCTTTGTGAGACCATTTTCCATATCATTTTGCATGCAAGCAGTTTACAGGGCCACTTAACCTGTACACAGATCCAAGCAATGGGGATATATTTCAAAGCTGTCATTACTGTTCTCTTTAGTTCTCTTCTTGGGAAACACACCATATGATACCTTTTCCATATTTAAGGCAATAAACTGAGCTAGTTCATCAGTTATAACAGAATGAAATTGAAACGTACGTTCATGTCCTGTCTCCCTATACAGCTGGTGCTCACTGTAGGACTCCTGGCTGTAGTAGTGTATCTTTACACTGTTGTGGCATTCAACTTCTTCCGCAAATTCTACAATAAAAGTGAAGATGAAGATGAACCAGATATGAAATGCGATGACATGATGACGGTAAGTAAAACATCACTAGCATGCTTCAAATCTCATTCTGAATTCTTACATGGATAATTAAGATGAAATCACAGAACATCAGGGATTGAAAAAGCATCTCAAAAGATCATCTAGTCCAATATCACACGAAAGGATGTTTTCATTGTTAAAGCCATCTATCTCTTCTTCTTGCTATATAGCTATTTCGAAAATGTTTACTGTCTTAAAATTCCCTCTTCACTCCCCAGTGGTCTAAACTCATGTAGAGACAGCATATGCTTAAAGCACATGGAACAAATTTTGCGACAAATTGGTCAGACCTACAAAAAGCAGCTGTGTTCCTGTAGCACACGTAAAGAACAGTTTGATCCAAAGTTTTGTAAGCTCTTCTTACATGAAATATGTTAGCACTACTCCTGTGTCAGCCTGCTTACAGCTGGTAATTTAATCATGAAGAAGTCAAGGGGGAGTACAAAAGGGAGTATTAAAGGGAGTGATAGTCTATCATTAATAATTTCCCTTATGATTTCCACCTGATTGCAACAGAAACCAGCAACAATTTTCTGTCATAAGAAAAGCTACTCTACAGATCTTTTTGTAAAGAAATGTGGCACAATTTCAGGAAACTGAACCTATTGAGTTTGTGGACACCTCATTTCCTTCATGGAATACTCGCTGCCTGCTTTAAGTGCAAAAATAGTGAGAGATACCTCAGAATAGAGGTTTGCAATAGATTTCAACTAATGATTTTCCCTATTCTGGAACTTTCAATTAAACAGTCACTGTAAGTCACACGTACAAATGATACGAAGTACGAAAACTTAGTGATATTGTTTGAAATGATCCCTCTGTGGATTGAATATAATGTTCTGGTCATAAAATGGATGTACTACTAATAGGAATCATTAAACTTTGTCACATTTCAAACCACTTCGCCAAGTGAGGTAAAAAACATAATCTGAAATTGATTTAACTGTGATTAAAATAGCAAAGGTGTCATGTCAAAAGTAAAGCTGCATTCTAACAGAGGATGTATAGTTTTGTTTGTGTTTGCCCGTGAAAGACCAGATGTCTCACTTCATGATAATTATTTAGCACTACAGCTGCTGTCTAATGTGACTTCAGAACCCTAGTTAGTCTCAGACATTCTCACTGTTTTTCACTCATATTCTACTTCTTAAGGTGGTTTACAAAATTCTGTAGCTGATTCATACAGAAGGATTACATAGATGGATAGATTCTAAAATGTTTACGTGGTTTAAATATCCAGATTTTTAAAGATCATCCCATGAAGGCTTCTATGTTTAGAAAATAAAGCACACAGCAACATTTCTATAAAGTGATTTCTTTCACTTCAAACATAACAGAGCCTGTTTCTGAGATCATAAATAATGTAAAATATACTGAAACTGACATCCAGTACTGCAAAATGAAATTATCCAAAAACCACTTAAGCACAGACAGATCTACCTGCTGTGAATAATATAACAACATTTTATAACACTGTTTCCTGAATTCCATTACAAGACTTTCAGAGAAGTCCTCCACTCTCTCAGAGCAAATTTGAGCCTTAGGAATTAATAGTAATGGGTATAATATTGTTGAACAGTACTAAAGAAAAGAAAGACATCTTAATCTGTAAGACATAGGGAATGACAAGAGGGTATAATATACTTGATGCTGACTCCTACCTCTTTGTAAGTTTACTTGAGGATGTAGCCACACTAGTTAAGATGTTAAGAGATTTTTGGTTCAGCGTGCGATACATGAGGAATGATATTACATCTTCTGTTTCTGTAACTTTTAGTAGGGCAAAATAATTAATGATAAATAAAGTTTCTCACTTTTTTCTTTTTAGTGTTACCTATTCCACATGTATGTGGGTGTAAGATCTGGTGGTGGCATTGGGGATGAAATTGAGGATCCTGCTGGAGACCCTTATGAAATTTATCGAATTGTCTTCGACATCACGTTTTTCTTCTTTGTCATTGTTATCCTACTGGCCATTATTCAAGGTACTTTCACTTATGTTAGCAGAAATAGTTAGAATTTAGTGTACATAAATTCTGAGTGCATTTAAATAACATTTATGTTTGATGTAATTATGTGGTATTGCTTCAAAGGCTTATTTCTGAGCTTATAAAGTCACTAATTCTGAAAGTTATAATTATAAACTTAATTTACAAATAATGCATTCTACCAAATATTACACCAAGTACTAGAAACATAACTTACCTTGATTATAGCATTTATGACAAGCAATGACACCGTTTGTGGAGGATTGCTCTTCCTGCTAAGAGTACCATTTAAACTTGGAGAGCATTACTGTAGACTCTTTTCACTGCATTAGTTTGGAGCTAGTCATTCGCCTTGGGTTTTTTCTCTGACAAGGCACCATGACCATGCACCATTTTCTCATTTCTTTAGAGGATGATTTTCAGTTCTAATTTGTTTACAATTGTGGCTTGCAGAGAAGGAGACATATACTGATTGACTGTCAGTGTTGAACGCTCATTGTATAAACTGTCCTACGGTTGGAAGGAAAAAATGTAAAACAAACATTTTTCAGGCAGTCTAGTGGCAAAGAAAAAAATATAAACGGTCTGTATTTTTTTAGATATTACAAATGTTGCAGTACCTCAAATGACCTAACTTTATTCTTAATGCACTGGAAATGAAAGAATAATGCTTGAAACGTGAAGCAGCATCACAAACTGTTTGGAGGGTGGTGACTGTCTTGTGGAAGCCAATTCTTCTTTACTCAACAAAAGGAAGCTTTTCTTTAAGAGGAAGTAAGAGAAATTCTCACTGCTGGGTCCAGTATAAATGAATACAAGATGGCTGCAAATTGATACATTTGAAATCGAATTATTCATACAGAAGCATGCCAAAGGAGGATGTCTACCAAAGCTACTTTTTTTGCACTACTTGAAAGAGAAGTATTGCTAAGTACTTAACTGTTGCAACCTATCCATTTGAAATAGGTCTTATTATTGATGCTTTTGGTGAATTAAGAGACCAGCAAGAACAAGTGAGAGAAGATATGGAGGTATGAGAAGAACATTACAGTTTTTCATTTGTCTTATTAATCTAGATTTTTACAGTTATAATTGAATCTTTGAGTTGTAATTGATTTGTAAACACAAATTGTGGTTTCCAGACCAAATGCTTTATTTGTGGAATTGGCAACGACTATTTTGACACAACCCCACATGGCTTTGAAACACATACTCTGCAGGAACACAACTTGGCAAACTACCTGTAAGTATATTTTACTATTAGAATTATTATAATGAGATTTTTCAGCTCAAAAGTAATTTAGGAGTTGTGTATCCTAAGACAGAGGAATATTTCCATTCCTTTCTGGTTTTCCCTAATACACTTTGAGCTGTTGGTTATCTTTAAAGTGCTTGCTCTACATGAGCTAGCTTAGTGGAACAATGCCTGAAGGCACATCAGCCCCTTTTATCTCCTTTAATCCTCTGTAATGAAAGCCACATATAGGAAAGGATTAGGAACAACAGTTTACTAGCTAGTAAGTTGTTTGTTTTATCAGTATGACCAAATCCCAAGAAAGTCACAACTGTCTTTTAGACTAAAACCACTGAAAGTTACTGCTGATCTAAAAATGTTACTTGTCATTGCCTCCAGTGCCTCTGAGTGCATCTACAAGAGCTTATGGTAGCAGAAGGAAGGTCTTTGGTTTGGTTTGATTTCTATGAGTTATGTTCAAAATAATCATGAAAAAATGCATTTCTGGAAAATAAGCTACAAAAAATAATGTACAAATCTGATCCTGTAGTTTCTTACCAGCAGTCTTCTGAAACCACTAAACAACTGGCACTAGTATACATTCAGTCTATAGCCAAGACTTCTAAGACAGTGGTTTCATACTTTCATTAGTGAGTGTAGAGCAGATCAAAGAGGGTTACTGAAAAGGGAATTTGGTGGCATTAGTCACCCTGACAAAAATGATAACTACATGACCATCTTGGACCAAGGAGGCCGAACTGGTTGGTCCTTCTTTTAAAGGCTGGCTTTGGAATACAACACTGTATCTGAGCTTAAAAAAAAAAACAACAAAACAACAGTGCCTCTTAGTATATATGTTGCATTATTCCTTGCACAGTAACTGACTCTGTGGAATCAATACACATTACTTACTTGAGTCAAGTTTTCTTCTGTATCCATAGTTTTACCAATCTACAGCCTCCAAGCTTCTCTTACTACCTTGCATCACTTGATTGGCATGGGGGATCCTGTCATTCACTGTAAATTAAAAACTGTCATTTTCTTAATATTAGAACATATGGAGAATAATCTTTCTATGCGGGTTGCTTTTTAATTAGAAAAAAAGGTTTCAGAAGTTAGTATATTTTCCTTTTTTAAAATGAAAACATATTAACTCCCAATGCATTACATCAAAAACCAGCTATCTACGAGCACTGTCACATAAAACAGACCAAGTGTTAGTACTCTACAGCCTTTCCAATTACTTCAATTTTGTACATTTGAGCACAAGTGGTACCTAAGATAAGACAGGTTCTACTTGGTTGCACCAAGATTTCCAAGCCATCTACCATCTACAAGTTCATAACCTATCATACTTCTTGCATAAATTCTGTAAGAACTTCTTCCAACATGACAGAATTTGAGCATAAAAGAGCTATATATGTAGGCCTAAGTCAGGTGTTACTACTGATCAGCACTGAAATGAAAAAACTACTGAAATACACTTTTCCACTTCTACAGATCCTACAGCTGTTAGCAATTTCACAGAAGTCTCCAAGGATTGCGTTTTCTTCTTTAAAACATCCTAGAAGCCTAGGAACGTCATTTCTTTGCTGGTTGCCACCATAAACATCAAATCCCACTCTAGGAAAGGTTAGGGGAGAGATTATACTTCCTGCATTAATACCTGTTCCATGCACTTGTTTCAGGTTCTTCTTAATGTACCTCATAAACAAGGATGAGACTGAGCATACTGGCCAGGTGAGTCAAAAAAAAAAAAAAAAAAGCTAAATATTTGTCTTGAAAAGCTGCATCTTCCTTCTCCAGCTTTGTAGCTTGACGTACCACCAGGTGGAACTGATGTACCACCAGTGGAGACAAATATCCACTCCTGGGATTTTTGAGCAAGAAAAAAAGGACAGGTGCACTATCCAGCACTACTGTACTGTGCCTGGAGAAGACAGCCTTCAGTAGTTACATTACTGTATTTACAGTCTATAACTGTATATATACAGTATAGATAGTATAACTGTATATATATACAGTATATATAATAAATATATAACTGTATATATACAGTATATAACTGTATATATATAACAAAATATTTTTGCTATATATATATAACACTGAACTTACATATGTTCATATACTGTCCATATATACATATATTACATATATACATGTCCATATATATGTATATATGGACAGTATATGAACATATGTAAGTTCAGTGTTATTAGGTCCTAAATGGAAATAAGATATAATTAAATCTTATTTATTTTCCTTATTTAAAATAAGATGTTGCACCAATACTGTGAAAGTACCTTATAATTCAGTGTTTTCCAAGGAAACTAAAACACATTTTGCAATGCAGATTATAGAGGTTTACTCTGATAGAATTGGACTGATTAGTTTTCACTTACCTGCACTTTTTTGACTTTTTAAATTAATTAATTTTAAATTAATTTTTAAAAACTGCTTACTGTTACAATTTAGAGCACTGGCTGTAAGGAGTTAAAATAAATGTTAAATATAAATCTTAAAATAAGTGTTCTTTATCATTTTCAGGAGTCATTCGTGTGGAAGATGTACCAAGAAAGATGCTGGGATTTCTTTCCAGCAGGAGACTGCTTCCGGAAACAGTACGAGGATCAACTTGGCTAATATAACAAAAGATCCAGTATATAAACTTCTTTCCTTTTCACAATGTAAATTCTCAGCCTGTATTTGCTTTAAATGTCTTTAAACTTAAAGACATACATAAAATTTGAAACAATTTCATAGGCTTTTTATACGTTCCACATACAAAACTGGTCTTCTGCTGGAATTGTAATTTGAAAAGAAAAATCTATGCCAACATCAAATCGAACCTTCCAATTTAAACATGCTCTGATATTATAACTTTTTAACTACACCATTTAACCTAGTGTTCGGTAAGAGCGAAAGGGCTACAAGATGTCTTACCTTTACAACGTTTGATGTTTAAGAACTTGAACATCAGAGGCCATGCCTCAGAAAAAGTACTTTAAGTGCTGTCCCATTTTTGCCCCACAATATTTGCTAGTCAGTATATTGACACAGCTTGAAAAGCTTTAAGCAGATAAAAGGAAACATTTTCAAACACTTTGTTGACCTTGAATCATTAAGTGCCTTAAAACCTCCGTAGACATAGCTATGCAAACTTTTTATTTGTTAGTGTTCTAGGTGAACAGATCCATTGACTGTATTGCTTCTGTCTTTCTGTATGAAATTGCACTCAAAGTTTGTATACAACCTTCAATAACAGCTTATTAGATGCTGCTGTTACAAGACACACCCTGTATCAAAATGAATACAGTTTAAATCACAGGCCAAAATAAAACAATGCTCTACTGTCACCTGCAAATAGAAGCTGCAAGGTTTATGCATTTATTTTTCTTCTCGTAGAAAGTGCCCACTGCAATAAAATATTATAAACCAAATACTACCTTTGTGATTTCTTTCTGATTTTTTTGCAATACAGATATGTGGCGTGCTGAAGCTGATTAAAAACATGTATTTGTTGTGCATTCATTGCTTTATTTTAAGGACTGCATGTAGCAAGTACAAGCTGGAACGACAACTCTGGCAGTTTGCTGCAGCCTACATTTTAAGCAAAAAAAAAAATCCCAACTTAATCACAAATGTTAGGCCTCTCTAAGACTGTTACACAGTCTTAGACGTTACTTAATCAATCATACCTAATCAAATTTTGGTGGCACAGAATTTCAGGTGCCTGGTTTTATTTGCAGGCAAGTGAAACAAATAAATGAAATAAAGAACAGCTAAAGGAGGGTTCCACCTTCTACTTGATTTTAGCTATATTCACTTATTCACATACGGAAAATTGGTTTCAGGAAATCATGCTGTCCAGCCAATCTTCAAGCTCTTCCTCAGTAACAATTTTGGATGTTTTCTGCTCTTGCTGTGGTGCTGTACTTCTCTGTTCTGGCACAACTGCTCTTGGAGGGTCTAGAAAAGCAAAAGGAACAGGCTTTTGAAAACATGGAAGAAATTCTGTACTGTCTTTTTCCTTCATCGGTTTGCTTTTTTAATGCATGACTGATTGTATTTTATTGAAATACAGTCTCTCAAAGAATAACATTTCAAAAACAGTAGCAACAATTAAAAATGCAGTTTGATAAGCTCAACCATAGAAATGCAGCTTCCACCAGATTCAAGGGGAGGCAGGACCTGCTTCTAAGTAAGCAAACCCCTACTGCAATCTATTCACAATCCTGACATAAACAGAATTTTCTTTAATATAGGAGAGCAGCAGGAGACCGCAACAGCGGATCACAGTGCAATTAGCATGATGACTGACTGTAATTCCACATTCTGATGGCACTGTTTTCTTAAGGGATTTACACTGTGCTTTGGATATACCAGCAGAATGAAAGATTCTCTTCAGAGACAAGGCTTACTGCACTGCACATGGTGATATTTATGTCATCAGCTATCTCTCTGTTTGGACTTAATTTTTATCAAAACAAAACAATCATACATAAAAATCAGAGATGTTAAAGTTCTTTAACATCATTGTAGAATAAGGAGAAGTACAACTGCTCTCCTTCAGAGCTAACAGTAGTACAGATTCCAGTGGCCCACTGAACTTCTGCTATAGGAAAATTTGTGTTTGTATTGTGTCTATTAAAAAGTTCATTTTGTATTATCACTGCTAGTAAAGTTTGAAAATAACATTTGTAATGTAATCAGAAATAGCTATCAGGTCTTCATTAGATTATCAGAGAGAACTAAGGGCTGATAACATTACATAAAAACTCTTTTGATCTTCCACTAACTAAAATTCTGTAACAGTACTTAAAAACAAAATAAAAATCAAATTTGGCTGATTCGTAAGACCACTGCTGTTCTACAAAATTAATGCTTAAAATGAACATCATGACAGTGGTGAAACTTCAGGTGAGAGGGTCAGAGCACAGCCCCAGATAAAGGAAGTGCCCTATGACAGAGATACTGATAGCAGAACTGTTTACTTGCAAGTTAGGAGTTTAAAAACAACACTGAGAAAAAAAAAAATTAAAGGCACTGGGAGAAAGCAAAATCTTACCATTTTCCTTACTTTCCATTTTCAGATCTTTCTCTGTTGATATGTTGTAGGATAATGCACCTGACACAGAATCAATGGGAGCATCCAGATTTAGGAGACGATCCAGTTCTTCATCCAAATGGTCAGTCTCTTGCTTTTCTAGCAGACGGGCTCTGTGAAATGGTTCTGCTGCACTTGTCCCAGGATCAATTTTAGTTCCAGGCTCCAATGAAGCAGCAGAATCACCAACAGATCGGGAGACCAACACCGTTTCCCTTTGAGACAAAGACTGTCGAAACAGCTCCCTCCTTTTGCTGTCTTCAACAACTTTAGAATTCATCTGTGGTAGCTCTATGGGTGTAGATGCCTAAGAATACAAGAGAGGACTTCAGAGTTTCTAATTATTAGACAGAATATTAAAAATCTTCATTTTCCTCTGCTTGAGCAGATGGATCTTTCTTCTGCTTTTGCTTTTTAACTTCTTATCAGTTCTTTTTCTATTACATTAATATTGTCTGTTTTCACAGCCTGAAGAAACACTTCTTTCCTTGCCTTTCTTTAACTAGAACATGTTTTCTTCACTTGTTTGACTGACAGTTGTAGCTGTTTACGTGCACAGTTAGTCTAATTCATAGAGCAAGCATATATGTTTATATTCATTAGAAGAGTAAATCAAACAAAATAATTATCTAATGGAAAGAATGTGGAAGCACTTTCAAAATTTTGTTGCAAGTTTTTAATAGCTGCTAAAAAGACAAGAAATACAAAAAAGATTAGAATAATTCCATGTCACTCATATATACCTGGCTTGAAGTCCAATGCAATGCACACAAAGTATTCTGCTTAAAGCCATCAAAAGAGCATAAAAAGGGTTGATACAGGGGTCTCCTACTTCACGTGACAGTCTCAAAAATATATTTACTTATAAAATGCATTCACGTTACATTTGAAAACTAGGTTTAAAGTCAATCATATCAGTTAAAATATTTACACTTTACTGTGAATATTTAGAGTTACCTGTACAAGTTCAGCAGCTACATTCAACCTCAGATGTAGAGGCAACTCCTGCAGGGCCTGGGCCAAGGACTGGCAGTCAACAGAAAGTGCAGATAACTGAAATGTAAATCAACACACAGCACACTTGCATTAAAAAAGAAGTTGAAACCGTTTATGCCTTCAGCATATTACATTCCTTTGCTCCACACACTGTAAGAATGCGAAGACCAATTTACAAATATACAGTATCTAAAAGATATTGACAATAATAGCAGGAATTCCTAGCTCTAGAAGTGCACATGTACAAAGCATTTTGGCTAAATCTGGCTAAACACCTACAAAGCAAATCATTACTCAGTTAAAAACAGAGGATGAATGCCTTGGAAATCCAAAAAGTAGGAAATGGTTCCACAAGCTGACAATGTCATAAGAGACTATGGCTTCTGTACACTTGCAAAGAGCAGGGAAATGATATGAATCCAACAACAAAAAAAATTGTAAAATGCCAAATATCATTGAATAACATTTAAGTGCATTGGGGAAGAGCTATGAGCTATGTACACTTGCAAAAATATTAAGGTCAATAAAATATTTCGCATGAAGGTGAAAATAGAGACAGGGAATACGAGGAAAGGCTGGTGATGAAGGAAAAGAGCTGAGAAATAATATAATGTAAATAGGAATTCAACATCCAAGTAGGTATTTCACTATAAGTGTAAGTGGTGCTTAAATAAAAAAGAAAGAAACAAAAACAAATGGATGAAAGCAGGATTTAAAGAATTATAAACACTTCATGGCATATGCAGCTATTTGTGCAAGAAAATGAGCAGAGGAATACTTTGTTGCTGGAATTACCAGTTTTACTGGAAACAAACAAACAAACAAACAGATAATCACTACTTGTTTGATTTTTTAAATTGCAGCTTTCTGAAACGTTCCTATTGTGGTTTATCAACCTACAACAAAGCAAATTCAGGTTTGCTTTTTGTAAAAGTGAATAACAAAGTGTCAGTGTCACTGATAGAATTCAATTCCACGTTTTTCCAAACTGTTGCTTTGCCATTCCTTTCTACAAATAACAAGGACTGGGAAATATCTACTCATTCTGCAATCATTTGTACGCCTCTTCCACTTTGTTTTGTTCCCTCACATTAAAGTTCAGTTTATGATTCTATAACAACTTCTTCTATGCGTGCAAACAGGCAAAGAACTAGAAGCAGATCTAAAAGAGGAAAAGGCAAGGAACTAGGAGCAGTAGATGTAGGAAGAAAATAAGGATCAAATCCAGCTTTCAGGGAAAAAAAAAAAAGACAGGCAAGAAACTTAAAAGGCTGAAGAGCAGAAAGAACACGAAGAATTAGCTCATGCTAAGAAACCACCTGGGCCAGGACTAAAAGAAGAAGTCAAAGACATGATCTACTTGAAGCACACAATTTGAATGAAGCAGAGGCAAAAGAACGTGACCACCACAACATACTTCATAACTCAGTACTGGACCAAACCCCAAATGTACAGTCTCTGCATTGGTAGACAGAGCACCTTTTAAACTGACTGGCAGTGCAAATCTTCACTGTGTTCACCATGGCCTCAGCATATAAATGAGCTAATATGTTCAGATCAGTTAAATGCTTTAATGACAAGTCTAGGAGGAAATCATGGAGAAATTAATATTCTGGAAATGCACAGAGAAAAGGAAGCAAAAGTCATGTGCTGTACTACTGGCATCATACATACTGGGAAAGGAAGAAACTGATAAGAATATAAAATCATTGAAAGACCATCTCCCACTGAAAAAAAACCACAAGATTGATTAAAAAATTGCTGTGCAAGCCACTTGGTTGTATTTCCTCATCTTAATTTGTAACATTGCAATTTCAATATAACTTTAAATATCAGTGCCCTAGGAATAATTATTCTCAATATTTTAGGAAATAAGCAGCAAATGTTCAAAATTCAAACACATACAAATGTTTCAAGTGAGACTCAAGCACAGCTCTTCAGCAATTTTAAGAAAAGCTTCAAAGACAAAAGCTAGCAGTGTGTGCTTGCAGCTTGGAATGTTAACAGTATCCTGGGCTGCGTCAATAGATGGGTGAGCAGCAGGGAGAAGGAGGTAACTCACCCTCTGCTCTGCCCTTGTGAGGCCTCATTTGGAGTTTTGGGGCCCCTAGCACAAGAAGGACATAGAGCAGTTGGAATGGGTCCAGAGAAGAGCCACAAAGATGGTTGAAGGGCTGGAGCACCTCTCCTATGAAGAAAGACTGAGAAAGCTGGGTTTGTTTAGCTTGGAGAAGAGAAAGGTGCAGGGAGACTTCATTGCAGCTTTCTAGTTCTTGAGGAGAGCTTAAAAGCAGGAAGGGGGCTAACTTTTTACATGGGCAGACAGTGACATGACAAAGGGGAATGGCTTTAAACTAAAAGAAGAGAGATTTATGTTAGGTGCTGTCTTAGAAAGTAACTAAGAATTCTTTACTCAAAGAATGGTGAGGCATTGGAACAGGCTGTACAGAGAGGCTGTAGATGCCCCACCCCATGCAGGTGTTCAAGACCAGGTTGGATGGGGCCCTGAGCACCATGATGTAGTGGGTGGCAGCCCTGCCCGAGGCAGGGGGTTGGAAATAGATGATCTTTAAGGTCTCTTCCTACCCAAGCAATTCTACAATTCTGTGATCATACAATAACTTAGGTGGACTGTGGGAGAAAGGCAGTTTAAAGATCAACACATTTTCTAGTATCCCAATATAAAAAAAACAGGACACTACAGTTTCTTTGCACTTATTTATATAAGCACAGAGATCCACAAGCAAAAAATTTCAAACCTTGTTGAGTTCCACAGTTATTTTGAAACTGAAGTTTCTAGTAGAGGATGTACACTGGTAATTTGAATTAAATGTGAAAACACATTTTGTAGTCAAATATATGAATATATATCTATAGGTCCCATTACAGCCTTTTTGCTAAACTGTTCTGAACACATTTGAAAATGGAAAGCTGACCTTATATGTCAGCAGAACAAGGTGATTTATACCCCTTACTTGCCCTTCTCTTGACAGGTTTGTGTTCTTTTCTTTCAATGCTCCTTAAAAACCTAGCCTGTTGTCTTGAACGTTCTTCAGTAGGAAAGAAAAGGACAAGACTCAAGAGCCTCCAGCATCAGAAACAAATTAATAAATGTATCTACAAATTACAGAGTGCTATTGTTCTGCTGTAAGCAGAACTGCATACAGAGCCTGTGCCAGGCAATTATCTGCACAGAAAATTCAGTTACCTGCTTACAGTATACGTTTTCTGTATCCCAGTCTTTCTCTTCAGCAAATCGAAATTGTGTAAAGGAATCTCCTACAAAAAAGAAATTAAAAAAATATTTTAATTTTTTTAATAGCACACTCCCCGTAAGCTCCAAATCCTACAGAAATACATTTAATCAATCAATAAACCTCAAATTTTCAGCATATTTGTCTTCGAATGCTGCTTGCATTCAAAATAGTAAACTTCTCTAAGCCCAACTGAATGGAATTTATGTACAATATTTTGAGAGTACTCTTTATGAAAAGCCTTAAATGTGCTGTAGAAACATTTTTTCAATACATCTCTTTTAAAATGAATTACAAGGTTCTAGATATCAGTTTGTACTGGCCAAGTAAATGCTTTCTGTTGTTTGGTAGTTAATGCTTCAGATTTTCTCTTCCCTTACTCTGGCACGTCATAAAAAAATAGCACTGAAACCAGTGTAGCCAAAACCTTGCTTCATATATATTACAGGATTGAATGAAAAACACAAATAAACAAGAAAACCCACACCATTAAATCAGGCTAATTAAACATATGTAACCTTAGCTATGGGATCTTCTAACCTCCTGCCATGTTGCTCCAAGACAGTAGGAACCTTCTTTTTCTACAGGTAAGCATAGGGTGTTGGTTTAGATTCTACTGTAGTACCACACTGGATTGCAACAGACAGTCTTATCAGCTTATTTGTTGTAAAAACACCAGAATTCCAGGAAAAAATATTAGTAAGGTCTATCGGAGATGAAATATGAAAGATGGGGGTTGCAGAGGCAGGCAGAATCAGATCCAACCTACAACAAATACATAATCATGTAAAACTGAAATGACTATGAAAACTTCTTATGGCTCTAATGTGTTGTACCATTCAATTGAAACAGCAGTAGAGCTATTTTATAACATTAGTTATTCACTGCGTATGAGCAAAATCATAATTCTGGAATAAGTTATTACTTGTTAGTAACTGACAATATTTCTACATATACATATATATATATAAACACACACACTGAAAACTAATATTCAGTCTTTACAGCCAGCAATTTACACTTTCAAGTGCTTCTTTTGAAACCATCCTGTTAGTCTGTTTTAAAAATTGAAAATGAATCATTTTAGATTCAGCAGCATTTAAAGAACAGGTTATTTCAAATTAAATAAACAAAAAGGAAGGTGTGGGGAACACCTTTTGACTTCTTTTGATCAACTTGCCATAAAGAAATACACCATAAAAATTATAAGGAACAAGAGAACCTCAAAACGAAATAATGACCAGCAATCCAGAACAACACACAGCATGTATGCTGCTGATGCAGAGCATGGGATGTGTGTCTTCCCAGACCAGGCAGTTTGAGAACAAACAGCTGTTTGTGCGTCTTTGTACGGATAGCGTAGACAGCTGTTAAATTGCGGTGTGCAGGAGGTTAGATTTGATCCTGAGAATTACAGATTACCTGGAGAAATATGGTACTTTGTGTGCCTAACTGTAGATGCGAATGTTTAACTTGAAAACTCACAGCTGACTGCTGCTGACAAAGGTGCCTGCCTTTTCATTGCTAGTAACACAACTGTGAGTAAAACCCTCTGTCAGAGCATTGAGAACATTGCTAAGTAATAGCTAAAGCTAAAACTTAAAGAAATCCAGATTCACTCTTAATGCCTTATTTTACAGTAGATACCAAAGAGTGCCAATTAATTTCAGCGCTCATTTTTAAAAGGCTCAGTTCAGTTACACACACAAAGAAGCACGTATTGAAAAACGGTTAAACCAAATGATTCTCAGAGCCCTCATGCTATTGGGAAAAAAGTCATGTATTTTCTTCAAGACAAAGAAGTAAAATTAAACTAAAGGATGAGTCGGATGCTCTAGATAGCTGAGAATGACCCGATGTAAAGCAGCTAAACAAACCCACTTCACCAGGAAAATAAGCCAGGATCCAGATCTGACTTGTGATTCTCCACACATAGAAAGTCAGGAATAATAGATCCACAGACACTGTATTGCTGAATTAAAGGGTATGACTTAAACGGTAGTTTAACTAGGCTCTTAAATAGATTAACAAAGCATGCCTTTCAAATGGAAAAGCAATAACTACAATTCACAGTAGCACATTTAATGCAAATTAGGTTAATGAGAATGTTGGTCTAACCAATTATCTTTTCACAAATTCCTTTACCCTGAGAATAACTTCCTTTTGTGTCATGAATACTAATCAAACATCTTGCAATGACTCAGAGTTCTTTCCAGCATAAGAACTGCTTTTCTTCATTTTAATTTGAAGAGTTTTTATCTTACTTACAAACATTATTTGGTCTCCAAACACAGAATAGCTAAAAATAATGCATTCAAGTAAACCTTACACATCATTTTTGATAACTTTCACAATAAATCTTAATAATCTTTTTTTGTAAAATGCAACTTTGCTATAAAAGAATAGCAGCTCTAAAGCACTATACTATACCAACACTGGAATATATTTAAAACTAAATCAATTGATTCAAATAGAATACATGTCTCATAGTCTCCTTAGTCCAATCATGTCTTCATACAAATATCACTGAACAGCAGAATCAAACAAATCCCTGTAAGCTGTACTAAACGCTTTCTAATATGCGAATTGACATTAGTATGAAAGTTGAAAGCCTGAAAAACATATTTCAGTGTGAGAATAGCCACACCAGAAGCATAACTTTGTTCACTTTAACTCTCTAAGTCACTAAAACACAAAAGACAAAACATTACTGAAGACAGAAGAAAAATATTTGGTAGTCTTAGAGATTGTGAAGCAGATTTTCAGACTGGGAGGAGGAACAAACAACGTAACAGCAGCCTTCAAAGACAAGCACTAAGCAACATTTTTTCTTTAAAGAGCAGAAAACTTCACACAGAATATCCAAGACAAATCCATCAATCAAACAAAAGGTAGGGAATGAATTTTGGATTTATCAGTTTTGAACAAATGAATGAGCAAAAAGAGAAAACTACAGTCTATTTGTAATGAATGTCATTTGTGTCATTTGTGATGAATGAAGTATGAGTGCATCTTCGTCAAACTGGAGGAAAAAGCGTGAGGAAGAGCTCCTACTCACCTGCATCACAGCCCGCTCTCTAGAGCAGATTCTGGAAACAGCCACAACTATACACCAGGCACTGACAAATCTCATCAGTACCAAAAGATTTATTTATTTTTAATCCTTACATCGTGTTTCCAATGGTGCAATTTACAGAGCAGTCCATCTGCTATTAAAGCTTCTTCTAAACAACGTATCTTCAGATAAATACCACTGAAGACACCATTTTTTTCTCCTGCAAAGGAGAACCTTAACCTGTCTATAAATGGATAACAAATATTCTTCCAAGCCTAGAGAATCTGTTTTGCAATGAGTATTACATGAATAATTATACACACCATAAACAGATATAATAATTTGGCCAAACTATATATATTATATAAAAGCAGACTCTTGGAAGACACAAAGTTTCATGGCCCTTGTAGTAATGTCACTGATTTCATTTCTACATTTTTAATTATTCAACTCTGATAGAATACACACTGTAACTCCTATCTTTTACTATGACTAAGGCTTGAGGTGTTTTACTTATTGCCATAAATGTAGATGGAGAACAGAACGTGGGAATACAAAAACAGAAAGACTCTGCAAGAAATCAACATCTATTAATTTCCTTCAGATATTATTAAGAACAGTCTATTTCAAGTAACTGCAAAGTCTGTCTTTTATCAAGTGCATGGCAGTTTTTTCCAAACAACAGGTCTTCACCACAAATGCTTCAGAACAATCTACATTTTCCCCTGGTTCTGCTATTCAGCAGTAGATTACACAGGAGTGTATTACAAAATCCAGAAGGCTCACGACAACAGTTCAGCATAAAAATCTGAATTACCAAAATTCTAGAAGAGTATCTTACAGGACATTCTTCTATTGACAGTAGTAGAAGGCCTGGAGCTCTGCGCAAACATACTGGAGTCAAGGATACTCGTATCCTGCATCATGAACTATAAAGCATATTTGAAATCAGATTGAGAAAAAAAAATGTTCAAAATTAAATCCCTGTACAGGGCTACTGGTCACATTAAAAACAATCACAACAAGACCAGGCAGATCTGACAAACAGCGTGACCATCTGATCAAGGACAAATCATACATTCAAAATTTTAAATTGTCACAGATGAACAAATAAGGAGATCTTTGGAAATTGGTGCCACTTCCAGAACAAGGACTGTCTACATAGGAAGAACAGAGTGAGTTTAACATAGAGAATCACAAAAGCAAGGTAAGAGACCAGTTCTTCAAATGAGTAGGAGGGTGAAACCAACCAGTCCCAGAGAACATAATGGTAAAAGAGGAAGAAAAAAAAAAAAAAAAAAAAAAAAAAAAAAAAAAAAAAAAAAAAAGCAAATTCTACTTGTTTTAAAAAAAATAATAATAATTAAAATCTAAAGCAGAAGTTAACAAGGGTAAGGACAAGGAAAAAGTACGTATAAATACAGTATATCAGGTAGCATGCTCAGCCTGCCCTGCTAAGACAGAGTGCATCTAATTAAACATAACCAACGTTAAACAAAACAAACATCTAGTATTTACTTACAGAGCTCTATAGAGAGTTACCTTAATCAATTATCTTTTTATATGAAAAAAATAGGAAGGAAAAGTCGGAAATGCACAAATTTATTTTTATTCTGTAGCTAAGAGTTCTTTTGGATTGTTTCAAGTTCTACATCTGTAGCATGTATAAGAAGAGAGATAGATATATATCCAACTTCCCTATCTATCACACCTGTAACTGTAAAGACAGCATTAAGCAAACTCTGCCTTGTCGTTAACTTTTGCACATTTTCTATAATGTATCATTACTTTTAATGCGCAATTTTTTCCTCAGTACGTAACAGCAGTAAGTCTTGCAGCAAATGCAGACTGCAGCAAAATTGCAAAATATTAAAACAAAATGCACTGAACAAGACAAAAACATTCAGAATGTCAACCAAATTCAGCTATTCATAAATACCAACTCCATCTTCTCCACTTTTATATTGAAT